ATTGAACTACCAAAAATACCCCTAATACACCCTAATACACTCTATCACACAACACGCTAATAGTTGTAGCATTACTTAACAGTTGATTCTTAGCTTGACTTTTTTAATAGTGTTTATAAATCTTTGACTTTTCATATGGATTTATGCTTCTACTATGTGTTTGCAAAGATTTTACTTCATAAATTTGTGTTTTTGTCGTCTGGGTTGTCACAAATTCATAATTTTTGTTTTTATTTTTCATTGATATACGAGTCTTATAATTATGAGACTATTGGGTATAGTCACCAAGTTCTTGAATCACCACCTGTATCGTTAAAAACACAAAAGGACAAATGGGAAATTCGGCACAAATTACTCCTTTGGCTTCCACTTTCTGCGTGATGCTTACAATGCATTTCAAGTTCAGAAGGTTGTTCCTGTAGAAGATAGTAGAGACTAGACAAAGCTGAGAAGTGAGTTTCTACATATCTCTAACATTGCAAAAAGTAGTAGAACACTCAGGGGGCCATATTACTCTCCTATTAATTCCAGTCTTAATAAAAATTGTGAACATCAATCAAAAGCACCATGTTGCAGAGTGCTGAAATTACGAGGTACGGCAACACAAACTACAGAGAATGTTTTGATAAGAATTAATCCTAGCTAACGTCCCCTTCTAGCCCTTTGTCAATTAATGACAAAAAAGAGAGGAGGAAACTTAAGTAATCCTACTTATTAAAATTATATTTGTTTCACAATTCCATGTATTCTTTTTGGTCATTTTATATTAGGGTAAATTAGTAATTCAATAAATACTTTCGTAATAGGGTGTACTCAACTAATTTTAAGGTTCGTTTAGCAGCACTATCATATTCTTAAGCTTTTCTTTTTTCAATCATTAATATAAGGCTTTGAGTCAAGTTGACAACGGTGACTTTTGGATACACAAATGAACGTTGACTTTATAGCTTACCATTATTGGTTGTTTGCCTTAGCCAACAAATAATGCTTGTTGCCCTCTGCCAGGCAACATGCATATAGCAGCTCACAATGCATTAATAGACTTGTTATTTCAACGTCTTATTGTATGGCCAAATGACAGATCAAAGTCTTCACTTTGTTGGAGGAGATTCCGAATTCATCAAACCATAACCATGTGAAGTGGATATAACAGGTCCTATTGTTTATTGATCTTCACAACGTCCTATTGTTTATTGATTTTCAACAAAATATAATTCATGTTCATTGTTCACACGTTGTGTTTCTTACTCTGTCTGACTCCAATTAATCTTTCTTTTATTGATTAGTTAATAGAACCATCATAATAATTCACACAAATTATATGCAGATCATGCAGGTCTTATTATAAATGAATTGGGGAAGGTTCCATTTTCCTTAACTGGCACTCTAGCTATAAAATATCATTTTATAAAGGGCTTGTCCAATATAGGTCCATATAATTTCTATTTCCTAGACATATACTCATCATTCTATAAATCTATGTGTAAAATCCAATTTCAAACTTAAATGACTAGTAGGATATAAGAGGTCGTAGTATTCCTATGTTTTTACATCTTTGCCATCAGACTTCATATTTTATTTATAATTTATTCCAAGCATTTCATTAACTGTCATAATTGTAATTAAAACTCCCTATTAATAACATATCAATCACCCCATTTCTTTTGGTAGCCATTCTCTCTAACATATAGCCCTTAAAATTGCAAATAAAAAAAATATGTAAATTACATATCCAATAATGTATATATGAAAAATATAAATATAAATATATACGTATAAAAATATAGGTATATTATTTACCAAAAAAAATTAACAAAAATAGGTCCATACTTTGTAATTGAAATTTCCGTACATTTTTCATAGATTAAAAATAGGTACACAATAATTTGTAGAAAATAGGTACGTTGTATAATTGAAATTTATGCACATTTTTTATAAATTAAAAATAGGTACATTACTTAGAAGAAAAAAATAAGTTCATTATACTAGGTAAATTGTTTTACTAGGCATACATTATTAGAGA